CCCCAAAACCCCAAAACCCCAAAACCCCAAAACCCCAAAACCCCAAAACCCCTCAGAAAGTTAGATTGTTGAGCATGTAATTTAGCGAATAAAACAAATATTTATTAGCTACTTCCTAGTGAATCAGTCACCAGGTTCTCAAAGTAGTCTCTAGAAGCCTTTATATTGAAAGAAATAGCTTCTGTTTCAACATCTGGGTCTGAAGAAATAACCATGATGTAGGTACTACTAGTGAACTCCTCAACAAAAGCTGTAAAATAGCTGTTTTTGAAGGTCATAGACTCAAACTGAAAGTTTGTCTTAATGCAAGACAACTTGAATTGTTTGATAATATTACTAATCTTCTCAAATCTGTGATCGTCTTTATGTCCAATATTATCATGATTAGCAATTACCAAGAATGTGTACTTTTCGAAGAGTACAACATCATCTGCACTATTAGCATCACAGAAGTCTTTCAGGCTTGATTTCAAGTCCTGTACATTTGGCAGTAAAATATTGACTATATCTGACCATGCTTTATACAAAGTCTCGTCCCAAATGGAGGTTCTGAAGCATGTCACATCGAAGTCTTTAGATACGTCAATAATCTCTTGTTGTTTTTGTTCAAAAACTTTATCCCTCATTGAGTCAGCAATCAAATCCATTTTATGAATCATACAGAAAATTTTAGCTCCTTGAGAGAGATCTTCTAATGCAGCAAGACAGTTTTTATAATATTCTAGATCTTTATCTGGTTCTTTACTGACAACTTCAAAGACATAGATGAGGACTTCTACGTTTTTGAAGATCTGATCTTTTTGGCTTTGGAAATATTGCTCCATGAACAGTCCCTGACCTCCGCAGTCCCACAAACTAAGCACGAGATTACCCAAGAATCTAACCCTTGACCTATTGATATCAACTGTGAATGTGAATCTGTAGGTATCTCTTGCCAGGTAATTGGCAAATATAATCGATCTCATGGAAGTTTTACCACTTCCCGCTCTTCCCATCAAGAGAACCTTCTGCACTTTTTCAGAATCCTGGGTAGCCATTGATATTTATAATTTTCCACTAATGTTTAAGTATTTGGGGTTTTGGGGTTTTGGGGTTTTGGGGTTTTGGGG